TTAGCGCGTTTCAGTGTAAACAGCGCGGTGTGTCCTCGTCCATCGGGCTGTTTGCTGAAGGCTCCCCGGGGCAGACCACCTATTAGCGTCGGTTTTTCTCCATGTGCAGGCTATGCACCAAGATTTTGGTGTCTGGCAGTTGTCCAGTATCATTCCTGCAAATGTTTTGCTGTGCCTGCAGCTGTGCCCTTTGGACACGCAGTGTGTAAATATTATATATAGCCTACTTGGAGCTCTGGTCAGTTTATGTCGGTGTGTGTGTGTGTGTGCGTGTGTGTGATGGAGTGTGTAGAGGAGGATTATTAATGCTGCAGCGGCAGTGACAGACAGGAGAGCGCGAGCGAGCGCCGACATCAAAACTGTGACGGATTTAGTCAAGAAAAAATAAACAGTCGGTGTTCGAAATCTGATCTATCGGAAGTTAAAATATTGTTTCACATCATCGGTAGCATCTATATCAGCACATGTTTATTGAATAATAAACGTTTGTGTGTCAGAATGTGTCATAATAAGTTAAAGCTTTTCTGACGAAATGACCACCAACAACATAAGTCTTCCCTGCTGCTGAAACAGCTTGAACCAGCCTAAACTGGTTTGCTGGTCTTAAGCTGGTTTAAGATGGTCTCCCAGCACCCCTGACCAACAGAGAGAGACAAAACCCAGCTAAAACCAGCCAAACATACCAGACTTGGAAAAGAGCAAAACATTTTAAGATTTGTCAGCAGGAATTCACTTTAAGGATTTATTACCACCATAATGTTTAATAAACATAGGTTGAAAAATAGGTAGCAAGCATAGGCGGAGTTTGGGGGGGGCTAGGGGGGGCACTGCCCCCCCAGACCAGAGCCAATGCCTGCCTTGTGCTTTGAAAAAAAAAAAAAAATACTGTATTCATATTTTCTCATTTTATTTGTCTTATCTTATCATTTTTGCGGGTATAATGAGTAAGTTAAGGCTAAATTATTTTTAATTACTGTATTGAAAAAGAAGCTAATTTTCTCACGACTGGCGGATCTCAAAGTATCGCGGTAAGTGAGGAATTTCCTGTGTGTTTTTCGCGTACAGACACGTCCGTTCACATGGATCCCCAAAAAGGACTAAAACCGCTGTATTATTCATGCCAGGCCGACTCTCCATGAGAGGATAAAGAACAGGCTGCGGTTGACGATGGGAGCAGCCAGGTTTTCTTCTCTTGCGATCCTTCACATCGAAAGCGACATTACGGCCAAGCTCTCACCTGAGACCATTATCGACGCAGGACGCAAAAAAACGAAAATTACTGTTGCACTAGTCTGAGCAATATCTAGGTCTGTAAGTTTTATTTCTCTGCCAAATAACTGCTTAAGATGGAGAAAAACTCAACACACTGCTTTCAGTTTCAATATGCTGTTCAATATGTTTCAAAAGTGGAGAGTAGGCTATGTGACCGTTAATTTTTCCCGTGTCTCAATGTTTTAAATGTTTCATGAAATGGCTACAACAAAATGCGAAATAACTTTTTTTTTTTAATCGCTCTCATTGCCACAATTGTGTTTCAAACGTGGAGAGTAGGCTATTGTGTGACTGTTCATTTTTCCCGTGTCTCAAAATGTTTTAAATGTTTCATGAAGTACAATAAAATGCGAAATATAACTTTAATCACTCTCATTGCCACAATGTGTTTTGAAAAAAGGAAAGAAAAGAAAAACTAAAAATCTTTTTGTTTTGGTTGAAGATAATATTTTAACAGTGCAAAAGTGGTCCACATTTCATTTATCCTAATTGTGTCCGAACGACAATGATTGCTACATGAATGAATGAATGAATGAATGCTACAATGATTTTTTTTTTTTTTGCCCCCCCTGGCTCGAATGTCAAACTCCGCCTATGGTAGCAAGTCTTGTCTTTTAGAAAATGCATGACGTTGGCTCTGTCATGTTGGCAGAACAAAAATTGAATTATTTATTATTTTATTATATTGTGTTATAAAGTGCCAGGGCCGCCGACAATGGGGGATAAGTGGACCTTTTGTCCCAAGCCCCAGGCTATGGGCGGGCCGGACTGGATAGCCGAGGGGGTGGGCCTGGAAAGCAATTGCAGTTTCTACCGAGGGATAAAAACATGATTCCTGGTGGAAAAACTTGATTTTTAAAAATGCAATTTCTATCAAGGGAGAGAAAGAAAAAAACTTTTTCTACCTGAAAGGAGGGGTTCTTCGGGCCCAACAGGAATTGCTTACTGCAACTAATAGTATATTGGCATTACATATTCGTAACATTACATCTCTAACATTTTCAGTCAGATGTTCTTTGTCGTAGTTGCATTCCAGACTGATGTCCGACCTCAAAGAGTTCTATAGATAGGCTTGGATTTCCGAATTCTCACTTAAAAATAAGATTACACTTTAAGCAGAAAGTCAAATAATATAGGCCTACTCTAATGACTGGTAATTGACATGTTGCAAAGTTACTTATAGAATGTCTAAAGTGGACTATCAAAATAAATTGTTACCTAAAATAACTACTGAAGGTCATGTTAGTCACTGCCTAATTGGAAATAATGTCAAATGCTGAAAATTGGGGTTGATCAGTCTGCACAAACTGATGGTCCAACCTTAAGCATGATTACAGTAGTTATTTTCAATTAGAAGGTGGAAGAATTCCAAGTTTCCTGGAATGCAGCATTATATATCTTGAGAAAGCAAACCATTAGCATTTGCTGAGTTACACATTTGCTTTATTTAAGTGACTGATTACTCTGGAAATAAATGACATCCTGACAAATTACAACTGCTGACCAGCCAAAACATGTCCCCAGGATATTTTTCATACAATATTCACGTTTGTGAAGGAAATAGAAATACACTGTGAGATTTGTCTTATTAATGATGTGAACTAATTATCATTGAAAGGTTGAAGGATGTGAAGTAGGCCTACATACAGGTCACACAGTGCCCCCATCAGGAAACAGAAAGTAAAGCAAGATAAAAACTGGAGGCATGCCTAGTGTATAAGGGCACGTTTATTTTTCACCTCGGAGTAGCCTCCTTCCTTCGTAATGTTGATGTTTTTTTACTTCTCTTTTCAGGCACCGGCAGAAAGAGAGGTAAGCAGACTTTCGAAAGAACTTATAGGGAAAATTCATCATCATTTATTCACCCTGGCTAAATGTCTTTCCTGTTGCTGTAAGCAGAGATTGATCTAGATTGTTTACTAGATTCTCTTTTCTACAGTTCTGCTCATAAGTTTACATTCCCCTTGCAGAATATGCAAGATGCTAATAATATATGTATATTTTTAATAGAGGGATCATAAAAATTGCATACTGAACCGGAAGACAATACAATGCTGGATAAAGTCGTAGTTTTTGTTATTTTTGGACCTAAATGTATGTTCGATGCTTCAAAACATTGTAACTAATCCACTGATGTCACATGGACTACGTTGATGATGTCTTTATTTCCTTTCTGGACAAGGACAGTATACCGTACATACATTTTCAATGGAGGGACAGAAAGCTCTCGGACTAAATCTAAAATATCTTAAACTGTGTTCCGAAGATGAACGGAGGTCTTACGGGCTTGGAACGATATGAGGGTGAGTCATTAATGACATCATTTTCATTTTTGGGTGAACTAACCCTTTAAAACGTATAAGCCTATTTATAAAGACACGGGAAATAGATTTATGCCACGGTTTAATTTCAGTTTAAGTCATTTTGTTGTCCACGTTCGTCATTTTTACTGTGGCCCTAGTGAAAAAAAGTATACTTTATTGTATTTGAAATATATTCCCTTTTTCAATAGTAGCCTACATTGCAAACATACTAACACATTTTTTTACTGTCTTTAAATATATTAAAAGTATATTTGCATCACTCTTTTACCTATTTTCACAATCCAACTTTTAACACACTTTAAAATAATTGTACTACAGTATATTTTTAAAGAATATATTTTCTAAAAATAAACTTGAAGTGAAAATTCTGTTTATTTTTTAAAAGTGTATTTATTTGCACTTTACTTAAAATATATATTTTAGGTATATTTTTAACTGTGAAAATGGTCATTGTAACAACGCATTGAAAGTATACTTTCAAAATACATTAGGCTATAGAAGCCTATAAAATTATATATTGTACAAAGTATAGCTAAGTAATATTTGTTTATTAATGTGCATTTGTTATTGAAAATAATGTGCAATTTGTAGTATTTGGAATAAGCCAAAGTTATTACTGAGCATATTTTTATTCAAATATAATACACGTATTGCTTGTATGTTTCGAAGACACTCGTAATGAATTTGTAATGTACTTGTAACACAAATAAAATACACTTTAATATCACTGATCAAGTACAGTAATTAGTCCCTACACAGGCATATAAAGTATAGTAAGAACACAAATACACTTAAAGTTATGCTTTACTACAATTTAATTACAACTAAAATATACTTAGTGCAAAATGAGTTGTTCCAAATTAGCACACTTCAAGTTAAATAATCATTAACACACTTGATACTGAAATAGTCTAAGTATTTTTTTTTCCACCAGGGAACAAGTAGGAAAACAGGCCAGATCCACGGAATAAGAGAAAAGAAGCCCTTGCAAGCCATTAAATGAACAGGTGGGACTGATGAAACTCTTCATGTCTCAACTCAAAATATCTTCTTTATATCCTACTTCTGACTAGATTTATCTTGTTGTTGCTGCTATTAGTTGTATTTGTGCATTTGTTTGTGTTGAATTGCTTATAGTTTATTGCTACTCATGTAGAGTGACATTGAGCCAGGGAAATGAGCTTTATAAATAAAACATTTACACCGGATTATTAGGCTACTTTCATCAATTTAATCCATCCTCGGCTGACTATCAGTTTCTAAAACAAGTATTTCAGAGCGATTCTAAACCTGAAGAAAATGATATCTTATTTTAATACAAATAAAATACATATAATCACTGGTCGTGATAACAGACTCATTAATGTGCGCCACTTTTTAAAAGAAAGAGGAAGTTGACGCGCGTTGCATTGTGGGATGTGGAATCCAATGCACTGCGTTCTAAATCGAATTACACTGTTGAACGTGCTTTAATAATAACTACTACGGAGTGAATAGAGAACAATTAATAAAAAGATCTATCTAAATTATTTTCGCAGCCTTGCAATTTTCCTCCGTTATGAAATACAGCACCTCGTGTCATGTGACCTGATGTGAGCAGCCGTCATTTAGATGCATGAATCTGTTCTGGACATTTGCACAGTTTAGGAACGGCTTTGGATCACCGAACTTTGGAGCTTTTAAAGGTCTTGTTGGATTCTGGCTGAGTCTGACATTGCCTTGTTTAGTTGCGGTTATATTTACGTAGCTCCCTTCTGCTCTTGGTTCCAGGAACTGGTCGTTGGATGTGTAAAATGCTGAATGCTGCAGCAGCCGACAGAAATAAGGAGCCGATCCTTGCTGTATTAAAAAGCAGAGTGACATCAGACAGGCATCTGATGGCTTTGGAAATCTCTTCTGGCACGGGACAGCATGTCATTCACTTTGCCAAAGCATTTCCGAACATTACATGGCAGCCGTCTGAATTCGAAGCTCAGTCAATATCGAGGTGAATATGCGCAACATCAAACTTCATCTTGAATTCTCGGCTTTCGATGTAGACATGAACAGCTCTGCGTAATAATAATAATATTAAAAGATTCTCTGCTGCAGAAACGCATTGATTTATACTTACCTATTCAGGTTATGAAATCGTAAAACATTGAAATAGTTTTGAATCGTCGTTGAAATAGTTAATAATAATCATAATTCGTTATCTTTTCGTTTTCTGATTATGATAGTTACTGAGTGCAGGTGCAGATATCTATGGAGAGATGGCGCTGTTTAGTCACTTTTAGAAACATAAGTGCTCTAGTGAAAGTGTTTTAAATTTTTATATATATGTATATATATATATATATAGAGAGAGAGAGAGGCCTATTTTGAATGCTTAAAGTATTTTAGTTTTTATTTATGAATAAAATAAGAATAAGTCAAAATCCACGATACGTGTTACTTAATAATGAATGAATGATTGAGGCATTTATATAGCACTTTCATATGTACTACTGTACACCCAAAGCGCTTTAGAATCATATCAGGGGATCTCACCTCAACCACCACCAGTGTGCAGCATATAGCTATAGGTGCCACACACACCAGCTATAGGTGAAGAGGAGAGAGAGTGATAGAGCCAATTCAATGAAAGGGGATTATTAGGAGGCCCCCTACTCTTCACGAGAAGTGCCATGGGATTTGTAATGACCATAGAGAGTCAGGACCTTAATAGTTTCTTTCAAAGTACACAGTCTTGTCAGTGCACGCTATTCCAAAGAACAAAAACTTTGTATGCTAATCTAATCTTTCACCTGCAATCAATTGATTCGATCCCCTCCGAAACTAATTAAATTAAAGTTTTGGCTGTTGCACGCTTATCCATGTAGCCATTTAAGTAGCTATTGAAAATTGTCCCATCCTATATGACTTTTTTCTATCAGACGAATACAATCGGAGTTATATTAAAAAAATATCCTGGCTCTTCCAAGTTGTATAATGAGAGTGAATAGAGCCTGAGATTTTGAAGCTAAAAAAAACCACGCACATCCATTATAAAATAATCCATACGGCTCAGGGGGTTAATAAAGGCCTTTTGAAGCGATGTGATGTGTTTTTGTCAGAAAAATGTCCATATTTATAACTTGATAAAGTATAATCTCTGGCTTCCGGTAACTGCCGTCCGCGTTTTCAGGAGAGAGTCGAGCTCCGGCGTTTGACGTAGATTTAGTGTGAGCTCCGGTGAGAAGTGACGAAGATCCGCATGGATTACTTTTATGATGGATGGATGCACTTTTTTGGCCTTATAAAAATGGCACCATTCACTCCCATTATAAAGCTGGGAAGAGCCAGAATATTTTTTAATATAACTCCGATTGTGTTTGGCTGAAAGAAGAAAGTCATAGACACCTTGGATGGCTTGAGGGTGAGTAAATTATGGGATAATTTTCATTTTTGGGTGAACTATCCCTTTAATGCCAGTTTAACAACAAATACGACAAATTTTGAAACCAAGTGTTACCATTGGGAAAAGATCATGCATGTGTTGTTTCAGGATCAAATAGAAAGAAGACTTCCACAATCCACTGCAAACTTTCAATTCTCGATTGATTGAAGCCCTGCCCTACTTTTTTTGATTTGATATCTGTTCTCCTCTCTAAGTTGCTCAGTAACAAGCCGAGACAGAAAGGAGTATAGTGCAGTGATAAACAACACTTGTGTGTTAATTCTATGTTAGTTCAAAGTTCACTCTTGATTATTCTTTAGATTAGGCTTCATACCATCAAATGTTTCCTGCTACTCAATACCAATGTACCCCCAGTTTCACAGACAAGGCTTAAGTCTAGTCCCGGGACTAAAATACATGTTTGAGATGGTTTAACTGAAAGCAACTTGCACTGACATATCTTAAAATATTTTGTCCTAGTAATGTTTTTTTTTGTTTTTTTCAAATGCACATTTGTAAAAGCTACTTAAATGTCCTAATTTAACTAAACTTAATCCTGGCTTAATCTAAGCCCTGTCTGTGAAACTGGGCCTTTATGTACTATCTTGTGATTTTATTTTTTTATTTATTTTTTTGCAGCATTGAAGCATATAGACAGTATCATAGGCTGCAGAATGTAAAGCCACCCATCTATCTTGATGTGTCTCAGAGTTGGGAGAACTGGGGTGGATTTCAAGCTGAGTCATGTGACCTCGTCGTGAACATCAACATGATGCACATCTCACCTCTGGCCTGCACAATGGTATCATGCTTGCTTGCTTTTATTTCTCTTTCTCTGTATTTGTTGAATGTCTGCATATAAAATCATTGAATATTCTTTCGCTTTTTAGGGTTTGTTTAATGCGGTTGGAAAAATACTGAAGCGCCAAGGATTGCTTCTGACTTACGGGGTATTTGTTGCATAATAAGCTCAAGCACCTTGAATTATTACGCATTTGGTTACATTTTTTGGCTTCTAACGTCTTGCATCTGATATTGTTTTGCAGCCTTATGCTTTCAAAGGATCGATTACTCCTCAGAGCAATGTTGACTTTGACCAGAGCTTGAGATACAGGTTAGTGATAAAGGAAATCACTGGCAAACGAGCAACATCTGCATTGCTGCACTGGTGTGAAAAGAAATGCTTGCAGATATAAAAAACTTATAATCAGTGTTGAGGAAAGTTACTTTTTTTCGATATTGCGTTACTCCCTAAAAAGTCATTAATTGCGGTACTTTTTATGGATGGTAATGCGTTACTTTTTCTCACATGGACTGGGCTTGCTTGTTTGTTTTTAGTAACAAAAAAAGTTATATTTTTATGCAAATGTAAAGGCCCTTTCACACCAAAAGTGAAATGAATAAGCCTCAGGCTGAAGGAAATGCAAATTCATGCCTGTACAGTTAGAGCAGCTCAAACAAACCTTTCAGTGCTGCCGTTCTGAATCACAAAACAATTGGAAAAACAAAAAAAATGAAACACAAATGTGATGTTTATCTAAAGTCATTTTTGATTGAATCGGATCATCTAAGGTCAGCAGCAAAGACATTGTCTTATAAAATGAGATTAAATACATAAAAGTATATTTGTGTAATTTAACATATTTACTTATTGCTGGATTATGTAATAATCTGAGTTTGCATTTCACTGTTTTTTATTCATTTTTGAGGAATACTGAATCTGTTTTTGTGCAAGTGAGATGAATAAATATATGCTCACATACAGTGTAGATCTTCACACAGCGCACACAACGCCTCTGCGCTTACTCATGATTTCTGTTATTAGGACAAACTCATTTAATTTTGTTAGATTTTTCAGTAAACAACACTTGCTATCTAATAGACATAACAGTCATGTTGCTTCTCAAGTAAATGTATCTTGATTTAAGAATGTTTTGGTATTTGTACTGGAATACAAGACAAAAATACTGCAGTGTAAGAATTATTACTCTGCAATAGTTGATCATTTCATATTTTGCTGTACCAATGTTGTTTTACAGAAATCCAGAGTGGGGTCTAAGAGATGTATCATTTCTGAAAAAGCTAGGCCAAGAAAATGGACTGCGATTGGAGGAAATTGTAAGAGTGTTATTACCAAAATGAATTGCTTAATGCATCTGGTGTAGTTCAATGCGAGTGCATGCTTGATGACAGTTATAGTTTAAGATGCAATGTCAATTCTCCCTTGCCTATTTCTGTTCATTACAATTCTTGCTGTAAAGGTTTTTCTTAGAAGCTATGATCCATTATTTGACCATGATCCACTGCAAATTAATCTGACTCTTTCTTGCTTTTAAATATGATTGGCTTGATTATGTGATGATTCATCACCTTGGGACATTGTAGGCTTGTAAATTCATCTGTTTTTGTTTTGATTTTCTAGGTTGATATGCCCGCCAACAACCAGTGCTTACTGTTTCTCAAGGACAGTGTGGTTTGATTTAATTCAGTTTCATCGCACTGTATTTGATTATGTGTAGACTCTGCAGTGTTTAAACGGTTCAAAGATACTGAATAATACAAAGGCTTTGCTGAAATTTGTCATCACTATCTTTTTTGGCAAAGATGTGTTTTTGCAGGATGTATTAATGTGGGGTCCTCCCCCCCCCCCCCCCCCCCCAAAAAAAAAAAACTTTTTACAAATATGTTTAAAATGATGTGTACTCAGATGAAATGAAGAATAATATAACACAACATACTACATTCCAGAATGATTTTCACTACACGGATGCCAGGGAAAGTAAAGTTTAAAGTGCCTGGGGTTTTATTGCAGGACATGATCATAGTTACTCTGAATGACATTGTCATTGGTTATCTGGATTATAGGTGTTGTTATTTTTTATGCGGTGTTGTTATTTACCACCTTATTATAGCCTACTACAAAAAAAAATTGCCATGCTAACCATAGTAACTGCTTGGTGTGTGTGCGTGTGTGTGAGAGAGAAAGTGTGTGAAATCCAGCTGAACCAAACCACCATGCTTCAAAAGCAAGCTAATCTAAATCTATAAAAATGTATCTTGAATGCGAGTTGCTTTGAATATGCATTTATGCCAAATGCATAAATGTATGCATTATTTTAATCAAATTGGTGGGTAATATAAATTTACCAGTTTACATGGCGAATATGTGTATGCTTGTAGTAAAATAAATGTGTAAACTCACATTTCAAGGCAGAATATTTGTTTGAATTTTCTTGAAACACTAACATTATTTAATTGCTGCTCTTCTTTTATGCGATTGAAGATGATCAATAAAGAATATCAGTCTGTTAATGTGCACTGTTGTGAGTCTGTTTATTGACTATATGTTTGTCTTCCTCAGACTCTAGTTTTTTTGGAATGGTTTACTGGCGATTGTAAGTCGGAACCAAAGATCATGATCTGAAGGTGTTACACCGAAAATTGCCCCCAACATGGGAGGTGCAGCGGATATGAGTGGATCGCAGTAGTCGGCAAAAGATTATTTGAACACAATCCGATTTATTATACTGTATCGTTTTAATCTGATTTCATTCTAAAGACTTCAAACACACTCCTTCCGCTTCTCTGTCGAAAATCATCCGGAACAGGCAACAGTTTAAGCCACGGCGGAGCAAGTTGAGTGTCTATTTTTGTATCCTGCCTCAAAAGCACAGTGTGTCAGTTCGTATGAAGCTTTTATTTCCATAAAGACTTGAATAATGTCAACGACATCGCTGGATAAAGAGCTGCAGGAGCGTCTGAGAGAGGCCAGTGCCATCGGAGACATCGATGAGGTGAAGACTTTAGTGGAGAGCGGAGTCAACGTCAACTCTCAGAATGAGATCAACGGATGGTGCGTATATAAACACTGATCCGACTCAGGCTAAACCACTTATTTTATTTACTTACTAGTGTACAGTTATATCAACCTTTCCTTCGAGTGCAATTCACCTTTATTCTTAACCTGTTAAGCTTCAAGCCCATTTTTGAAAAATCCCCAGATATGGCATTCCCAAACTGAAACAGATACAGTTCATGAACCCTTTGTACTAAAAGCACAAGTAAGATCTCATTTGAAAGCTGACACCTGGAAGTTTATTGTAAATGTAGAATTAATTATTATCATAATGAAAAAAATAGTTATAAATAGCTTCAAAGTTTTGTAAAGTTATTATACATTTATTTTTATGAAACATCTTCATGAAAATAAAATTGAAGTTGGCATTGTAGCAATCTAGAAATGCACTGCAGCTAAAGCCACATGTCTGGCCATGTTATATTTAAAATTTGAAGATGATAAGTCTAAAACTCTGTATTTAGTTCAATGTTTTTCAAGATCATGTCATATGACTTTATTTTGATTAGACTGGTGTTTATTGTTTTCTTATAAGCATCTATTCAGTCTATTGCCTCTATTGTTTTGTGATGCAAAAACGAGCCCCATTCAGTCTCAGTCTCCCCTGCACATATTCACACCTCTCCAGCCAGTTTATTGCTCTAAATATGCTTTTCTTTTGTCTGCATTATAATCACTAACGACTAGCAATTCACACTGTTTCAATCCCTCATTTATTTTATAAAAGTTCTCACTTCACAGTGAAACTGTATCAAATGCCCTTTTTGAAAAACGAAACATTTCAGTAAGCATTCTTATTTAGAAAAAAATCATAAAAATTACACCGAAGTAAGGTAGCAGGTGCTCAGTACTAGCTAGCATGTTAGCTTAGCACACCATCAATACACGACAATTTATGAGAATAAAACTATGTTTGTTCTCCAAACTTACTTTATAGCGCAAGTCGAGTGTTTTAAATAACTTTCTGTAATCTGATTTGGCTTCAGATAAAAAAATCAGATAGAAAATATATTATTTTATTGTATTCTGCACAATTTGAAAGTCTATCTCGATTAGCATTACATTATACATATAATCAATTATTATGAAAATACCTGACATGACTCGAAGAACACAGGTAAATCAAATATCATTGCAATCATGTTTATTGTCTTCAAAACATCTTTATCTGCACTTTACAGCGATCTCGGATAGCTTTGTTGTGGCAGGACTTCCTGAATGTCACATGATTATGGCTCTTCTTCATGTGATCCATATATTATGGACTTCTGTTCAAACAGCGCCCTCACTTTCAGGATGAATTGATAACACAGTACAGAGTATACAGCGCTCAAAATGATTACATCGACGCATTTGGGTATAAATTCAATAAATATTATTCCTGTCTATAGAAGTCTAATGTAAAGCTATGAGAATCTATCAATATTTCTCCAAATCTGCACATGTTTGAGCTAAAAGCCCTGAGGGACGTTGTTTTGTCAAGCGCTGTCATGACGATCGCACGGGAGTTTTTTTCTGAATGAGACCGGCTGAGGCTCATAATTCATATTAAAGGTAACGACTCATTTTTTAATTTCATAACTCCTGACACAAATTAAGACATAACTGTCACTATAAGTTTCTCAGAATACAATAGTGGTCAAATACTGAATCTTGAGTCTTATATCTTTTTAATGATGTATAGTTTGTCAAGGTATAACATTAAATCTGATAGTATATTTGAACTAAATAAATAAAAAAACGCTTCAGTGCGCCGACGCTCTGGAGACGGTTAAGAGGTTAAGATAAGAGAGCTCCTGGCCAAAATTGATAACGTTACCTGGCAGTGGTTACGTTAGAGGAGGGGCCAGGAATTTAATTTGAATTTAAAATAATAATAATAATGATAATGTTCACAGATAAATCATTTATAATAATCACTGCAATTTTCTATTAAAAAACAAACAAACATGACTTGTCCATTTTAATTTCATGGTAACTTTAACATTTTAGGAAGGGGGTCAAATATGATTATATTTGGGGGTCCATGGTATCTAAAAGATTGATCTAGGACACCAGTGTCAGATTCATGGGATACCATTACCTTATACAGGCTTTTCACACTTGAGATTGTGAAAAATGCAGTATGTAATGTTAAAATACTTTCAGTTTAACATGCAGAGACAGCGAGTAAGACATTTCCTTGTAAAGTGCAAACACTGGGGGTATTCCAGACAGCAGGTTATTTTTGTCTAATTATATTTTTTCTTATTTTATTCTCGTATCGTAGATGTGCATTCAAAAGGTTTTTGAATGAAAATGGGACATTTTCTATATAATGTATGTAATAATGTATCCTCTGGGTTTGACTGATCTTACTCCAGTCTGCGGTTTTGGAACCTGGGTAACCTCGAGTAAGCAAGGTTTGGGTTAATCAACCGAGAGGTTCAGAGTTGACAAAACCATACAAATTCAACCTGGTCAATTGATTTATCAATTTGACTGAGAGTTAGTGAGTGATTAACTATCAAACAGCCGATCACACAGAACATTTAGGGGCCGTTTACACAACATAATTTTCAACTAAAAGCAGAAAACTTTTTATGTGTTTTGGTCATTCATGTACACGACAATGATGTTTTGGGGGCCTGAAATTTTTGAAAACAATACCGTTATCGTCTCCTTGTAAACTACAAAAAACGCGACTTTGTGAAAACGGTGATGTCATGCGCATGCGTATTACATGTTCAGTCTACAGGCGCGTAGTGTTTCTTTACAAAGTGACGAATAATACAGCGTTTTTAGTCGTTTTCATGGATCCGTCAGAACAGGGATCGTTATGACAATGTTGTCGTCTGTACGCGAAACTTTTCAAAAACGCAAAAGAAAAACTTCCTTTTTTAGTACATCATTGTCATGTAAACATACCCATAATCTGCTGTAATATGGAGTGAGAGATGCAGGGATTGCGGCTTTAATGCATCAGATACATGTCACTTTCCTCACAGCTGATTGGTCCAATTTGGGTTTGCGATCTCTAACCCAGAATCAAACCTGCTCCGCAGCAGGTTAGCCGTTAAAAATGCCTTCATTCTTAACTGATTGTTTTACATTGTAAATCATTTAATGTTGCTTAAATGTTCAATATATTCAACGTTGCTTAACTCTGGTTTAAAAGTGGCCATAGCAGGGTTTAAAAAGCATTAACCCTGGGTCATGATGTAATGCGAAAAGCTCTATATAACATGTAGAGCAGGATTGATGCAAATGTAATGGTTTCTGATTGCTATAGATAATATAGCCCTTACCTTTCAAGTCATGTAGCTTGGCAGCATTCCTGAAATGCTTAATAAGAGAGCTTGTCTTTAGGAGCATGTTAAGCTCTCTGTTTTCTCACTGCTGATATTCGTTGATCAACTGACTTTAGGTGTAAGATTTGTTCTGACGTTCATGCCAGGCCTTGACTGCTTTGTTTTAGTCACGCCTGAATGCATTAGAACTCATTTGACTGATTCGCTGTGGAAAGTCATGTTGTAGATAATCTGGTGTCCCCTGTTCATCCAGGACATGTTTGCATTGGGCCTGTAAAAGAAACCACAAACAGATAGTGGCCTATCTGTTGAACGCCGGAGCCGATAAAGACGTTCTAACAGCGAAAGAGGAGTTAGCTGTTCAACTCACTTCCAAACCTGAAATCAGAAGACTGCTTGGAGGTATGCTTTTTAGAGATAAAGGACATGATGCATTACATGCTCAGATACTCTCAAAGCCGTCATACAAAGACATTTAGACATTTCATTCGAGACATTTACAGTTAAGAATTATCTAGCCGAAGTGTTTTGTTGACTAGAATATGAACACTAGAATATAAAGGATAACGTAGCAAGCATGTATAAATAGAAATCATGTATTGCATGTAAATACTGATACAAATGCAAGTCATTTTAATTTGTGAATTCATATGAGATCATTAGTATGAATTTATATATATATATATATTTGCAGTAGATTTAATTAAATAAATGATAAATTAAATATTTTTTATTAATTTTTAATAATTAAATAAATTAAATATTTTTTAATAAATTATTTTAAAGAAAAATTAGGTAATTAAATGAAAGGTTTAATTAACTTTTTTTTTGTCCAAGATGCATAATATTTCAGTGCCACATTAGTTGTCGACTAATATTACATTTATTGTTATTATTATTATTATTATTTATTTATAAGTAATATTATGTATCGGTCAATATTGGATTATTGATTTTGCAAATTTTCCCTATTTCTACATTTAGATTACCTTTGCCGTCATATAACGCTCACTTAAATTTAATATTTAAAAACACTATTAATTTATTTACAATATTAAATGTAATATTTAGCAAATCTTAAAATGAATTTTGTATCATTTTTATTATTTAATTTAATTAATATTATATTACATATAATATTGTGATGCCTGAAATTCACTTGTAGGACTTAAAATTATTGATCTTAGTTTTTATTTTTCAATATTATTATTTTTATATTGCCATTAGATTATAAATATAAATATAATATATATGCATATAATAGTCAACATTTGAAGTGGATCAAAAAAGTTCACCAAAGTTGTCCTAAGGCGAGAACAGGTATTGTTCAAAATTCATGTATAACTTTGATGAAAGGTTTTGATCCACTTCAAATGTTGACTACTATATATATATATTATATTATATTATATTATATTATAGTTTTTAGTGTTTTATTTTTTAATGATTTAAAATATAAAATATAGTTTATCTATTTTCTTTTTTGCATCCCTATTTTTTTATATAATCAACTCCTAAAAACGCTAAAAATGCATATTAAAATAGAAAATCTTCCTTATTCCACTGTTTTTTTTAAAGCTTGCTTAAATTAAATCTTAAAAAACACTAATAATTTAATAGCATCATTAAATGTAATCTTTAGCAAATTTCAAAAAGAATTACAATTTTTCATCCAGTACATTCACTTTTACAACTAGTTTTGATTGTTTTATTTCAGTTATTTAGACAAAATATTAATATCGTCAATTTGTCAATCAACGGCCATTACAGTATCATTTAATTATTAATTTCTTGTAATATATTTGTTCTTAAAAATATTAAAATATTAACATGAAAACCGAAAACCTTCCGTGTATAGTCATAATGCCCTTTAATGTCCTTACGCACTCACATTCATGTTTATCGCCCCTTCTCCAGTGGAAGAGGAAGACATGCCTGAGGTGAAGGAACCAGAGCTGCCAATCATTCCAAACTATCTTTCCAACCCACCCTTCCTGTACAGCAAGATAGATAAAGATAACCTGAGCATAGCACAGCAAAACGGCACCAACAGTCACCCAGAGCCCCTGGAGTCAGAACCAGCGACCCTGTCGCCGACGCAAGAGCAGCAGCTCCCGCCTCAGCATCAGCAGCCCAAGAGCCTTTACACAGACAGCCAGAGCCCGCAGGAGTTACCCTTCATCCCCACGGTGGAGCAGAACGGCGTGGTCAACGGCGGCCTGCCAATGGAGCTCTCCTCAGAGACTCATCACACCAACCACTGCGAGTTTACACACGCTCATCCTATCGCACAGAACGGCCCAGTGTGTCCCACGCTTCCTTCTCCCGGCGGAAGCAGCAGCCAGACGCAGGTTCCCAACGCCACGGTCACCCGGCAGCCGTCCATCCCGCAGCAGATCAACTGCTCCCAGCTCGGGGGCTCCATGCCGGCCTTCCAGCCCTTCTTTTTCACCAGCACTTTTCCAGTTAACGTTCAAGGTACAGTGTGGGTTTGTCAAGAAGCTTGTTGGTCTGTGAACCGTAGGGTTGGGCATCGAGAACCGGTTTCAACTTGGAACCGTTTCAAAAATAACGATGCCATTGGAATCGTTTGGAAAGTTTGTTTTCGATTCCGATCATCGGTTCCAAACGCAAAACCGAATATGTCCATCAGTGGTTGTATATCAAGCAGGGAAACGTTTGTGTGCAATTTGTTTTGTGATTTCACTGGAGTCTCCGCCACGGATTGAACCGCGTGTCCGAGAGAAGACTGTGCGGGAGCCATAAGAGAGCACTGTATCCGCGGCGCGCCACTGATCGCAGCGGCAACGAGAACTTTCATCACTTGATTAAAAAAACAACACATTTTAGGGCTAGGTCGCATTTTATTTAACAAAAGAACAAAATTAATGCTCTGCTAGTAAACTGAAGATGATTTATTAATTTGTGTTTGTACATTCGTCCCGCGAGATGTTTTAAAAAGTGGTGAGGACAATATCAACCCTGGCAAAAAGTGGTGGGGACATGTCCCACCCGCAAATTACTCCTATGCCTGCATGGTGTAAAAATTAACAAGTAGTGTAGCGTGTTCGACATGCTGTGGAGGTCCACTGTCTCGTCCTCCTCGGGCAACCCTGCGCTAACCAACGTTAGTAACGTTACCTCGTCACAATCAGGTAATTGATTGTAGTGTAACAAAGCGCTTGACCAAATTGCTAATTGTGGTGGTGAACAACAACAACATTGCTGAAATTATTTTTTTCCCTCGTAGATGAATGTAGCGTTATGCAAATTGCCCACGCTAGTAGCAGTCCTAATATTACTGTTTATACATGTCCAGAGAGTCCAGACCAGGGTGCAAGTTCTGCATGTATAAATCTGTTTTTTTTTTGGTCTGGTGCAGAGGCATTCCTTATTTTCTCCCACATGGGCTGGAGCTCCCAAAACTAAAACTCATTATTGGGTCAAAATAAAATGTTCCTCTGTGAAATGAGCCTGTGACATGTTTCAACTCCACCTCTCAAAGAATCGGAATCAAGAATCGAAAAGAACCGAAATCGAAAGGAAGAATCGGAATCAGAATCGTTCAAATCAAAACGATGCCCAACCCTAGTGAACCGTGCCCCGTCACGTGACCCAACACACCTCCGCTTTCACCTCCACATTAAAAAGTTCTGCAGATAGAGTCACTGAAGGGTCAGGTTGCTAGGTAGCAAGAAAGCAGATTCACAGTGTAGGATACACAGTAAATAATGAAAATGAAAACAGTAACGTGTTTGCTACCATATGTTTTATGTTCAAATTATATATAAATATATTTACATATAAATGTGTATATATTTATTTATTTTATGCATATAAATATAGCAGAACATGTATAAAGCTAGATAAATGTTAGAGAGTGCATATATTTCAATAGGGAATATATATATATATATATTTTTTAAATAAATTCTTATCTTTTGAACTTTCTATTCACCGAAGAATGCTGAAAAAGGTATCTGTTTCCACTAAAATATTAAGCAACACAACTGTTTTAAAGGTGCTCTATGTAACTTTTCTTCTAAAATGAATCCTTTTTTTATTGCCTGTGTGTGAAGAGGTTGTAATCACACATTACAATGATCCACTTGTCGGGTTTTGCTATTACCTCTGAAGGCCAGTATTCCTATTTCTATGTGAAGTCTCTGGGTCGGATTTTCTGCGAAAGCCATCGGATGTGACGTGCATGCGCACTCCCGAGCCTCTCTCCTTTTGAGGCTGATAACACCTAAAAACGACCTGCCTCCAGCACAACACAGACTCCAACACAAACTCCACATAAATATAAAAAACAAAACAAAAATGTGCTGAAGCTCGTCAGGCCAAACGTGAATCGGATCGACTTAGGACGAAAACACGGATCAACATCGGCAGAGCGTTTGAATTATGGAGAGACCTCCGCTATTTTTATTGTGATAAATTACAAGTTTTCAGATATGCTGAAATAAATAATGGTAAACTGTAATGAAATAGCAAGGTAAACTACAACATACATGAGATATGAAATGAATACAAAAGACTGTTCCAGGATAACAAAAAGTAGGTGCTTTAGGATGTAACTTTTATTTTATGTACTAGATCTACTGTCTAACGTCACTCGTCCCACTACTATCATATTGTTTATAATACACATTTCCAGACACATTCAGTACAGTAATGTTACTTCCTACGATCTTACTGTTACACTGAAATTGTTCAGTCTAGTTCACTAACCGTTTTTGTTATCATACATTCATCTATGTTGACATTGCTGATTGTGAAAGATACACGAATAGTTAGTGAAATGCCTAATGCTAGATAACACCACATGTCGGCTAAATGCAGTCAATGTAACGTTATCATGGTACGAGCATGGAGCATTAGTTCAACGTCAAGCTGATAAAAGTAGCCTATTATTGTAACGTTGCAGTGGGAGTTTACATGAGTTTCCAGCATGTTGTGTGATGCTTTCTCCGGTGTGTTGAAAGTCTCAGTGTGGCCGGTACCATGAGTGCTCGCTCTTGTGTTCGAGCACGCCACGAGCGCTCTTGTAAAAATTGGTTGCAATCTGAAACATCACCGATAGAGGCCGCTAAAACATACATATAGCACCTTTAAACATTCATAATAATCAGACATTTTTCTTGATCATCAAATTAGAACGATTTCTGAAGGATCATGTGACACTAAAGACTGGCGTTATGATGCTGAAAATTCAGCTTCGCATCACAGGAATAAATTACATTTCAAAAAGATATTTGAATAGAAAACAGTTATTTTAAGTTGTAATAATATTTTACAATATTGCTGTTTTTACTGTATTTTTTATCAAATAAATGCAGCCTTGGTGAACAAGAGACTCTCAAAAACATTTTAAAAAAATTTACCGACCCCAAACTTTTTAACAGTATCTATATATAAGTACATCTGAATTTATTTGTTTGCATCTATTTTACCGTAAATCTTGGCTGCTCGGTCATACACTTAAATCTGATGGATTTTAGCAGATGTTCTTATACATATTGACTTTCACTCATTCCAACATAAATTGAAGGCAGCAGATCTCCACAAACAGGTTTGCACACGCTTTCTTTAAATGCACATGCACCAAACAGACTGGTTTGAGGAATTCACAAAGATGCCTCGAGTCACAATCTTGCTGTCTCTTCCCAGAGCTCGTCCTGAAGGTCCGCATCCAGAACACCAATGTCAGAGAGAACGACTTCATCGAGGTGGAGCTGGACAGGCAGGAGCTGACGTATCGCGCCCTCCTCCGCGTCTGCTGCCGCGAGTTAGACATCAGCGCAGAGCACGTGGAGAAGATCCGCAAGCTGCCCAACACTATGCTCAGAAAGGTGAGGAGGCCTGAGCCTATTAACAGCTTAGTCAACTCGCCCGGATCTGATGTGTGTGGTCCTCACAGCTGACCGCCTTCTAAGGGAGTATCCTAACAGCGATGGATCTTTATAAATGACTGATTTGGAACGATCTACATAAGCGGTAGATGACCAGTTTGACCTAAGCCTGCCAAAATAAAAGCTTGATGATTTAATGTTTGAAAATATCAATTATTAAAACATATAATCACAACATTTCTGGCCAAATTGTGCAGCCCTACATTCTGCCCCTCTGTCTGAAATGATCTGTTTTTAAGGGGCGGCTCCTTTACGGCTTGTCAGTAAACGGCCACTGTTATGATTGGCTGACGTCATTGCATAGGAAACGGTATCAATGGTCACTCGCTATTGCACGCGATTAAGTGTTTAGAAAACATTATCCATATAAAACCCTCATTTACAGACAATGCATTATGAAATAATTTATTTACGGTTTGTGATGCAGCTGCGGTCAGATTCTTTGCGAACTCTCCATTATGAGCCTCTTTTACAAAACAAAATGCGACACGATCTGGGACGCCATTAAAAAACCCATCCACTTGTTCCTAACGCTGGAATCCTTCTGAAGACACTAACAAGCTGTTTAAACTGGACGCGTCAAAGCGAACATACCTTCACTCTTCTCTTTGTCCTGTTGTCGACGTGCATCCGTATACTGTATCCAGTGTAGACAGCGTCAGTGATTATAATGGGTTTTATTTGCTTTTGACGTGACGCTCACATCCAGTTTAGTAAAGTGTCAGCCGTTAAGCGACTGAATGCCAGTGGGCGGGGCCTATGGTGTGATGATGTGTAACTATGCGTCGATGTCTTGCTCTGGAGGCGGTCATGTGCAAATGTATTTACCCATGTGATGAGACTAATCCTCAATATCAAAACCACTTTTGAGCTTGATTCAATAAATGCTTTGTTATAATGAGGAGGATGTTTTAAGCTGTGAAACTTACAGGATGTTTTAATGGTACAAAGACCTCTTATATATGGCAAAAGATCAAAGCAAAATTGATCTCTCATGTCATGACCCCTTTAATTTACAAGTCATGAACAATATCTTTAAGCGGAAGGGTGGAACTTAATAGATTTGACAAAAAAAAATGTTTAACTGAAAATGTGTGTCCTTAATATTTGTATTATGTCGTAACCATCTAAAATCGATAAAACGCTTGTAGTTAAGCTGAATTTGAAAATATTAAGAGTATTGTTAGGCATGACAACATAGTTTCCTACATGTTTGAGAGTTTTGCAAGTCGTGTTGTTGTTTGATCTTGCACTTGAATGAATACAAAGACGAATCTTCCTGTGCAAATGCATATTTCTTGCTATTGGTGAAGGAATGATGATTTGGATCCATTCCTCTTGGTTTAGTTCGCTTGAAGGGCCATCGTGATGCTTCGTAAAAGTGACATTCTGTTTGGTTGAGCAAAATCCTCTCTTGTTTAAGCTTGTCTAAATCTACAGCCAAAGTTTGTTGAGATAGTAAAGCCAAACAGTGCTTTTTAACATTGAGTAGTAGAGGCAGTTCTAGCTTCAAAAAGAGTGGCCAACATTATAATAATGGCTGAAATTGGACAAGCAAACGCCTTTATGCTTTTGGCCATGTTGTGCATTTCATCATATCCAACTGCAGACACCGGTGTAGTTTAGTTCTTAGTGTTTATACCAGATAGCGATGGGTACAACCCTGGACAACCTTACTGCATCATGGGAACGTCTGTGCTGCCATATCGAATGGCATCATCTCTCATTTGCGATCTCAAAAACAACAGAACAATGGACACTACTTCCAGATCATTCAACACTACATCTGTCTAAATGTGTTTATGTTCCTTTGGCAGGATAAAGATGTGGCACGGCTACAGGATTTCCAGGAGCTGGAGGTGGTTCTGGAGAAGACCGAAGGCTTGTCGCTGTTCTCTGGAGGTCAGGGAGGTCTGACCGACAGGCCCTGCTACAACATGAAGGCCTCCAGGCTCACCTACTAGCTTCACATTAGAGACTCTCACGGTTTACCTGCTTCCTGAAATCCCAAACACATTTTGGATCCCAAAATATGCTCCTGCTTTTGGGTTGGTAACCAGATATAACATGTTAGCCTTATTCCTCCTCTCCTTCATTAACAGATGTATCCTTAGTGCCTCCTCTATCATTTTAACCATAGATAGCTTGTTATACGGGCTTTGACTTGCTCCGGGGTGGATGGGGTTTTTGCATCGCTTCAGTTTGAATATTTAAATCCATCCAGGCCATGATTGGACTTGGGGAAATATTAAAACGCACCACTTTTGCATACTGTCGGGCCTTGGAGTGTGTTCAGATCTGTCTTACTGCCTTGCCTTCATATCGGGTCACTGTGTGAGAGTAGGCACATTTCATCATACATCCAACAAATATACAGTGTCCTATCTCAAGTTCAGTCCAACATTCTGGTGAATCGGTTTATAAAACTTATGTTTTGTGTCTTTTATGCTTGCGTTGATTGAAGGAAGCCACGCTGATTTCATATCAATGCTTCTAATTCAATAAATATTTAGTTTGCCAGAAAACTCTCTGTGCCGTTTACCAAAACCTTGCCATTATTGTGGAAGCGCCCTTTTTATTTAACCCTTGAGAACTTCAGTGCTGTATTTTGAATGCTGTTCTGTCAGTCACTGTAAGCCAAAAAACTCGTTCTGTAAACTAGCATGGACTGTTTGGAGCAGAGAGGCCTCATGGTCTTGTATGAAGGCAAAATATGTTTTGATTCTCTTGAACTTAACAATGTAGCAAAAAACAAAATCTTTGTTTTTTTCCCCTACGATGAGCTTAATTGGAAAAGAGTAATAGGATATTTAACCACAGAGAGCTTCCACCGAGCATAATTTTGAGTTTTGACGATGCTTCACTCTCACATATTTGAGAAGCAGGACCTGTATTTAAGAAATAGTGGTTATAGTAGTGCCATTTTACTTAACACTTTGCTGCATTGTTGATTATGTTGAGCATAGAAATACTTTTTTTTTTTTTTTGCGGTTTGGATAACCCGTAATTTGTGAGGAATTCTTGAGGTTAGGTTTAGGAGCGGTGCATAAACACTACATTGTTGTAAATTAGCTTTTTGACTCGATAGAGATTGTGTTACTGTGAGAAGAATTTCTAAAGATTTGTCTTACGAATTGTTTTTAGTTTTCTCGAAGAGTTTGACTGTCTAACCAAACATATGATCATTAAACATTTGTTAACAATATGCTACTATTGTTCAGACGTAATATTAGCCCCTTGAAAAGACATGGTTAAATTATTGAAATTAAAGGTTTTTTTTTTAAAAATGTGCAATTGTTTTAGTATTATATATGATACTAGAATCTGACGATTAAAAGAAGTATTATACACTTCAGTTGAAATAAAACAATCTCGTTTTCTTTTCTTTCATATGTTCTCAATTAACTTAAAGACAGCTGGGAAACAATTTCCTGAAATTTAATTAGATTTTTTTTTTATGTGTGTGGTTAACATGATTGACAATTTGCAGAATCTATCAATCCATTCTAGAATGTTTTTTTTTTTTAAATATACTATTGTTCATTGTTAATTCTTAATACATTATCATTACACAGTGTATTGTTAACTGATCAAACCTTATTGTTCAATTTGACTGAATTTAACATACAATGATAGATAGATCGACTTAACGATATTTTGATATTTTGATAGATAGATAGATAGATAGATAGATAGATAGATAGATAGATAGATAGATAGATAGATAGATAGATAGATAGATAGATAGATGGCTAGATAGATGGCTAGATAGATCGACACAACGATAGATGGATGTATAGATAGATGTATTGATAGATAGATAGATAGATAGATAGATAGATAGATAGATAGATAGATAGATAGATAGATAGATAGATAGATAGATAGATAGATATATCTACAGAACTATAGATAGATAGATAGATAGATAGATAGATAGATAGATAGATAGATGGCTAGATAGATCGACACAACGATAGATGGATGTATACACTCACCGGCCACTTTATTAGGTACACCTGTCCAACTGCTCGTTAACACTTAATTTCTAAGCAGCCAATCACATGGCGGCAACTCAGTGCATTTAGGCATGTAGACATGGTCAAGACAATCTCCTGCAGTTCAAACCGAGCATCAGTATGGGGAAGAAAGTTGATTTGAGTGACTTTGAACGTGGCATGATTGTTGGTGCCAGAAGGGCTGGTCTGAGTATTTCAGAAACTGCTAATCTACTGGGATTTTCACGCACAACCATCTCTAGGGTTTACAGAGAATGGTCCGAAAAAGAAAAAACATCCAGTGAGCGGCAGTTCTGTGGGCGGAAATGCCTTGTTGATGCCAGAGGTCAGAGGAGAATGGCCAGACTGGTTCGAGCTGATAGAAGGGCAACAGTGACTGAAATAACCACTCGTTACAACCGAGGTATGCAGCAAAGCATTTGTGAAGCCACAACACGCACAACCTTGAGGCGGATGGGCTACAACAGCAGAAGACTCCACCGGGTACCACTCATCTCCACTACAAATAGGAAAAAGAGGCTACAATTTGCAAGAGCTCACCAAAATTGAACAGTTGAAGACTGGAAAAATGTTGCCTGGTCTGATGAGTCTCGATTTCTGTTGAGACATTCAGATGTTAGAGTCAGAATTTGGCGTAAACAGAATGAGAACATGGAACCATCATGCCTTGTTACCACTGTGCAGGCTGGTGGTGGTGGTGTAATGGTGTGGGGGATGTTTTCCTGGCACACTTTAGGCCCCTTAGTGCCAATTGGGCATCGTTTAAATGCCACGGCCTACCTGAGCATTGTTTCTGACCATGTCCATCCCTTTATGGCCACCATGTACCCATCCTCTGATGGCTACTTCCACCATGTCACAAAGCTCTAATCATTTCAAATTGGTTTCTTGAACATGACAATGAGTTCACTGTACTAAAATGGCCTCCACAGTCACCAGATCTCAACCCAATAGAGCATTTTTGGGATGTGGTGGAACGGGAGATTCGCATCATGGATGTGCAGCCGACAAATCTGCGGCAACTGTGTGATGCCATCATGTCAATATGGACCAAACTCCCTGAGGAATGCTTCCAGCACCTTGTTGAATCTATGCCACGAAGAATTGAGGCAGTTCTGAAGGCAAAAGGGGGTCCAACCCGTTACTAGCATGGGGTACCTAATAAAGTGGCCGGTGAGTATAGATAGATAGATAGATAGATAGATAGATAGATAGATAGATAGATAGATAGATAGATAGATAGATAGATAGATAGATAGATAGATAGATAGATAGATGGCTATATCTACAGAACTATAGATAGATAGATAGATAGATAGATAGATAGATAGATAGATAGATAGATAGATAGATAGATAGATCTATAGAACTATAGATAGATAGATAGATAGATAGATAGATAGATAGATAGATAGATAGATAGATAGATAGATAGATAGATAGATAGATAGATAGATAGATAGATAGATAGATAGATAGATAGATAGATAGATAGATAGATGGCTATATCTACAGAACTATAGATAGATAGATAGATAGATAGATAGATAGATAGATAGATAGATAGATAGATAGATAGATAGATAGATAGATAGATAGATAGATAGATAGATAGATAGATAGATGGCTATATCTACAGAACTATAGATGGATGTATAGATAGATAGATAGATAGATAGATGGATGGATGGATGGAGATTCATGTGTTCTTGAAAGTAAATGTATGTGAACAGATCTTTCTTTGGGCAAAACAAAAATGTAGTGCAACATGCCATTGCTAAACTTCACCAATAGAGGACAGGCTCAGTCTTGAAGAAACGAGACTCCAGACAGCAGGAAGGAAGTGTTTCCACTCCGTTAAACTCAGTGGAGCTCCACACCGCATCTCAGAGTTACTGCACCACACTACACAGTGCAACATTTACAGTTTTAAACATCAGAGTTTCAGAAGATTATTTGGCTTTCACTAAAAGTTTGAAATTGTGAGGACAATATTGTAGAGAGAAGGGGGAATTTCAGTATATCAAACCTTGTTCCATTTGCATTTTAGTTAAATGTCTGATTTAGATGGTAAATATAAAATTGGTGACAGGTGTATTGATGATTTTTGATCAAATGTATTATACAGAAACCCTCTGTTTATTCAAACATGTGGATTTCTTTCACATCGTAGTCGGGAACTAACTCGGCTCACCAACTGCCCTTTGACCTCTTTCACTCAATTGCACATTTTAAGGGAAACGGAGCCCCGCCCCGTTCAGCACTATAGATCACATGAGCGTGCAGGCATCTTACCCAAGACAACAGGAAATTACACTAGAATCCTTGTATTTGTGCAAGAACTAATGATCCAATGCAAGCTATACATTGTAACTAAGAAAAGCATATTAGCATTAGCATTCGTATTAAGTTGTGTACTGTAGAAACATCCTGAAGCGATTGTGTTCTCAGCTTGGTTTCCCATCTGAACTTTAAAACAGTTGCGCTATATCTTTTCATGTTCTCGTAGCAGATCACATCTCTTACCCCTCACGGTGAAACTAGCATGAGATCTCTGTCAGTTTTGAGTAAACAACAGTGTGTCCGTCTGAAGACCAGACATCCAGCTGCACCTGGCAAATGGATCATTCTGCACCACTGATCTGCTGATCCGGGAACAACCGTCCCGTATTAACCTCGACTACTAGCCAATACAAGAGAAAGTGACAAACTGTTTCTAAGGCTTAGCAGATTGGGTCAGCTAACACAGTATGTGTGTGTTCACTGGCCACTTTATTAGGTACACCTTGCTAGTACCAGGTTGGACCTCCTTTTGCCTTCAGAACTGCCTTCATTCTTCGTGGCATTGATTCAACATTGTGCTGGAAATTGGATTTTGGTCCGTATTGTCATGTGGCATCACACAGTTGCTGCAGATGTATCGTCTGCTCATCCATGATGCGAATCTCCCATTCCTTCACATCCCAAAGATGCTCAATTGGATTGAGATCTGACTGTGGAGGATATTTGTGTATTTAGTGAACTCACTGTCATGTTTAAGAAACCAGATTAAGGTGATTTGAGCTTTGTGACATGGAGAGTTATCCTGCTGGAAGTAGCCATCAGAGGATGATACACTGGTCATAAAGGGATGGAGATGGTCAGCAACAATACTCAGGTTGGCTGTGGCATTTAAATGATGCTCAATTGGTACTAAAGGCCAAAAGTGTGCCAAGAAAATGTCTAACACACCATTACACCACCAGCAGCCTGAACCACTAATACAAGGATCTGAGAATGGATCCATGGCATGCTTTCATGTTGTTTATGCCAAATTCTGATCCTTCCATCTGAATGTTGCAGCAGAAACCCAGACTCATCAGACCAGGCAACGTTTTTCCAATCTTCTATTGTCCATTTTTGGTGAGTCAGTGTGAATTGTAGCCTCAGTTTCCAGTTCTCAGCTGACAGGAGAGGCACCAGTGTGTGTCTTCTGCTGCTGTATCTGCTTCAAGGTTTGATGTGTTGTGCGTTTAGAGATACTCTTCTGCAAACCTCTGTAACGAGTGCTTATTTGTGTCATTGTTGCCTTTCTATCAGCTTGAACCAATCTGGCCATTCTCCTCTGACTTCTGGCATCAACAAGGCATTTTCGTCCACAGAACTACCCGCTCAATGGATACTTTTTTAGACTATCCTCTGTAGAGATGGTTGTGCGTGAAAATCCCAGTAGATCAGCAGTTTCTGAAACACTCAGACCAACCCGTCTCGCACCAACAACCAGGCCACGTTCAAAGTCTGAAATCACCTTTCTTCCCCATTCTGATGCTCAGTATGAACTCCAGCAGATCGTCTTGACCACGTCTACATGCCTAAATCATGCATTGAGTTGCCGCCATGTGATTGGCTGATCAGATATTTGTGTTAACAAGCAGTTGAACACATGTATACAGTGGCATGTGAGTGTGTGCTACC